TGTAAAGAGCTGGATTTTTTTACATAATATATATAAGCCTTACATTGTGAGAGAAAAAATTATTTATTCCATGATTTCTCACGGAACCCCTGACGATGGTCTGTGGAACCCCAGGGTTCCATGGAACCCTGGTTGGGAAACACTGCCTTAATATGCACTGTTTTATAGTCACCTACTGCGGGATCCATAGGGACATCTTTCAAAGAGGAGGAGGAGGTTACTTACCTGTGCAGTAACTGATTTTCTTCAAGGTCCTTGTGGATGGTCCTCTATCCATCCTCCTCCCCTCTACTTTGGAGTTTTTTGGAGCAATGTCTGTTGCAAGTTCCGCTGGTTGCAGTGCCAGTGTAGAATGTAAATTCTGTGTTTAGCATATATATTAGTGCTACATATTAGTGCTACAGACCTCCCAGTGCAATCCCAGACTGTTCTTGTTCCACTCTTTAGTGACAGTCTGACAGCTCAGACCAATAGCCCTGTCAGCTGGTAAGTAGATGGAAGCCTGATTGTGGTCTCTAAGGGTTTCATCTGTGGCTGGCAATTCCTATGTCCTCCGTATTCTGGGCAAGCCGTTGAGCAGCTGCAACGAAACATGATCAGTGTTGGCTCAGCTAAGAGCTCAACAAAGAAGGGCACAAATTATAATTTAAAATACTACTTTAATAAAACAATATTAATAAGTAACTGTTAAATGTGGTATGCAAAATATTTTTAAATGGGTTTGTGCCCTTTTTTTGTTGCTTTGTTTATTCTAACTATAGTACATACTAGGTGCTAAATACTTTCCAAATAAGGAAGAAGGGTGAGCAGCTTACAGCGTAAGAGTAGACAGAGTTATAGGAAGGAAACAACAATAAGTAATGTACTAGCCTACTCAGTCCATTGTAAACACATGGCAAAATTAGACTTTAAAGAAGGAATTAATTGTGGATGGCATAGAGATCTTGCAGATGAGCTAAGTGAAGTATTATAAGCAGCTTCAAAGGTTATTCTGATATTTTTAAAAATTCATCTTTATTTTAGAAATACTAGGAATATAAATTCTGGTCTTCCCTTACAATCTCTTGTCGACTTCTGTAGTAATTTTTCTGAGTTGTATTTTAATTGAAGACACGTGTATTCAATCTTGAAAATGGTTTCCATTATCATCTAAAATTTGGTCACTAAACTTTTAATTAAAAACAAATTTGGAATAGTCTGACTATAAATCCCTCTGTTTTCAACTCTTTACATTTCTTTTGTCATGTCACCATTTTGCTACTTGTCCAGTTAGTCTTCTAGACTACACAGGATGTAAATTTCTAATATATTTGTAAAAGAAGAGCAGGGGAAAGAAATAACCTTAAAAAAATCCTTTCAGGCCTTTGTTATATAGCAAAAGGCCGCACAACCTGTTTTTTTAAGACTTACTTTAACATAAAAATCTTCTTTTGCCCTTCCTTTTTAAAAATCAATGGTCATAGACCTACACTATTTGTAATGTACTTATTGCCCAGGGATTGTCACAGGTATTTTATCAACTGCTTCAGCAACATTTCCCACATTCCAAAGTAGGGATGTTAAATTTAGATTAATCATCTAACTGAGTAGTCAATGGAATTTCCATCGACTACTTGATTAGTCGATAAGGAAGATAAGAGCCTCTCGTGGCTCTTGTACATTTCAAAGCAGAGGTGCAGTAGGGAACTCACGTGAGCAGGGATGAAGCAGTCTCCACTCACTCGCTCAGGTCCTAGGACCCATACAAGCAGGGATCAAATCAGTACATGGGGGTTGGAGAGGGCATGTGAGCTTTGGGGACAGGATCCAGGCATGCTAAGGTTCCCACCTCTGATCTGCAGCTTACTACACGCAGCTTACAGGGAACCCTGAATACAACTTTCTGGGATCTCCCCTGCACTTAGTGGAGGAAGGAACTGAATGGACAGTTGAAGAGTTGGAGAGAGCTCTTCTCTCTAGATTTAGACTGCTTTTTCCTCCAGATCCTGGAGAGAAATATGAGAGAAGATTTTCAGTAATAAGACAAAGGGAGAAAAATGAACAGAACCCAAAACCTTCAACTTAAAAACTTCATATTGCTTATCTCTTTGAGCACCAAAACTCAGAGGCATGATTGCTTATCAGAATAAATTCTGGTCACCACTCCAGTAGTCCGTGCCAAGAGTGCTCCTAACTTTGTGTGGCATCTGCAAGTATGAGGAAGTATCAAGTTGCAGATCAGGGGTAGGGACTTCAGTTTGCCTGGATCCTGCTCCCAAGGCTCACGCCCCCCTCCTACAAGCGTTGGAGAGCCTGTGCCGGCACTCCAGCCTCCCTGCTGCCTCACCAAGGGGCTAGAGCATACAAAATATACTAATTTGGGCCTACCTAGGCTGTGGTGTGTGAGGAGAATGTGGGAACAGTCAGGGGCCACATCATTGAGGGTGTTTTGTTTTGTTTTGTTTTTTATGTCTTTGCTGGTGCTGGTGGTGGTGGTGGTGGTTTTTTGATTCTCATTTGTGTGAGGCCCCTGACCCAAAAAGGTTCCTTGCTCCTGTTGTAGATCCTATTCTTGATAGTGTTTGCATAGCTCCCAGTGCAGAACAGAACCATTTAAAGCAGGCAGTAATACAAGCCAAAATGTGATCAAGTTTAAATAAACCCATTACATAATATTGCAAGGATCTGTGCTGGACATAATGTGACAGGTGTTAAGATTCACAGACCCAGAAATGCTTGCGTAGAGTATTGTTTACGGATATTGCACTGGGTTCAAGTTGTGATGACACAGGTGTCTGAAGGAACAAAAGATCATCACTTCTGTTTGAGGTAAAGCCATTTTTACTGTGAGGCCTCATCTATGTTAGTGCCCTAGAGTCAATGCTCACACAAACTTCTGATGTTGTACTTGTGCCAAATGGGCCTTGTACCAGTCGAGTGTACTTTGGTACGTTTCCTGATTAAGATGTGCCACTGTTGGCTGGTTTTAGGACAGTGAAGCACGTCTGTATGAGCGTGAAGTTTGAGAGACCTGTCTTAAGAAATGTGAAGTAAATCCTGGACCAGGATGACACTTGAAGTCAAGCTGAAACAGTGGTAAAGAGTCCATTATTTGAAGTTAAAGCGTATCCCAAATTCTCATTGGTTTCCTACTTAATTTTTTTTTTAAATCGTGCTGCAAAGTGATTGCCCTATATATATATATA